GGGCAACGTATACTCATACGGCAAAAAAGTCTATTAACCGGCAGTTGACTTCTGACTCCAAACCATCATCACCCCAGTGTATGTCATATTCGACTACTTTCACGGTACTCACCTCACCTTTTTCACTCTGCCTTTGTGTTTTTCTTTTTTACATCTTTAAATCACTCTTCTGTCTCCCCCCCCCCCAAGACTTTTTTCCACTTTGATGTTCCTTCCCCTCTGTGAAGCCTGAAGTCAACTAAAGGGCTAATGATAACTATCAAAATGCCTGCCATTTAATATAAATAAATATCTTAAGAAATTCAATTTTCTAAATAAAAAATCCCGTTTGATTTACAAAGCTTTTCTCTCCTTACCATCATCCGAGTGCATCCAGACTTCTCACATAAATCAAAGATTCTCCAAAGCGCGAAACCGGGGAAACCTTATTCAGGCAAAAACAAAAAAAAAGCTTTACAATGGTAGAAATGATTTATTTCAGACGTAGGTAGACAAAATGCAGGACGAAGGGGACGGGGTCATGAAAGCGATGTAGGTCGACTACTGCAAGGATGGAGGGAGAGAGCAAAGTGAGGATGAAAGGAGAAAACCCTGGAGGAGCAGCATTTCTTCGTGTTTTTTATTGTCGAAACAAATTTGCATTTCAAACATTCACATATATAAAGAGTGAGAACATTTTAGAGAGACCTATTGAATGTTTTCAGAGATAGCACGACACACACCAACAGGACTATCAGAGTAGGAAAAAGTACATATCGAGTCGGTGACTGTATACTAATCTCCTATCGACGGAGAGGTTCCAAAATATCGATCGCCAAAGTTCCCAATTCCTGGAAGTATATGATAGTCATCTGTGAGACCGGGATCAATAGCTGAGGTGACAATATGAGCCTGAAAAAGTGAAGAGGCGAATATAACATGTAGTGCACACATTCTAATTCATGTCTGCACACGTTCGATTGCTTGTTGAGGATTTATTTATCGGGTGCTTATTGATAAGTACTGAAGGTAACCTCTGTCCGACTCTTTCATCATTGCTCAATCAACCCTCTTTATCACAGACCAGGTTCTATCCGATCAAAGCTGATGCCATTTTGCTTTTCTTTCCACTTTCCAGTTCTTCCGCCCCTCCTCCCCTTCTCGATCATTCCAAGTTCCCCAATACCCACATGGTCCTACCTAACCCTGCATCTTAGCCAACAGTTTAGACGGAAAGTATAATCTCTTTTAATAGTTAGACAATTTTATTGCAGCTCACTTTTAGTGAACATTGTTTCATTAAACACATATTCAAGGCGGAAAATCAAGTGAAATAACTCAAGCGACCATTCTGCTTAACTGAATAGTCAATAAAAGCTGTGAAGATTGAAGACAAGAACAAACTGTGGAACTATTTTACTGCTTCGACAATCTATAAGCTTTACTGCCAAAAAGTATTTTGTAAGGTTATTGCTAAGAAAGAGACAGAACCACTGATGTGACGTCAAAACGGCACTGTCACGCTTTATAGCCTTCAGTAATATATTGTTAGGGTCATTTGGCAACAAAGAAATCCCCTCGTCTATGTCATGTGGATCAATAGAATTCGTCGTGCGGAAATGTTGTGTTATTGAGCTCGTTACAGCCAGTCGCGACTTGCTGGGGAATGTTGATGCTAAATTAATCAGGGTTGGCCAAGCTTCATAAAAAAATGAAATGATCTCTAGCTGTGATAAAGGAAAGACCATAACTCAGGAGAATGACTCACGTTGGGATAGGTGTAGGCGACAGAATGGACACCCTGAATGGCCATAATGAGAGAAACCAGAATGATGTGGTCCTCGGGTACATCGTGTTCGACGAGAATTCGTATCGCCATAATTGCTGCAGCACCTGAGGCTACTGTGGTATCCATCAACATCACGTAGCAATCCTATAAGGGGAACTGAGTTAATAGCCACCGCGGTGGAGATAGTACTCAAGGTCAGGCTAAGTACAATCACCCAACTCGATTGCTGACAAAACCGCGGTAATTAGTTTTAATGTTGGTAAAATGTTTAAACTTGGTGTTTACCACAGCCTTAAGTCATGATGAGACAATAAATGGAGAAAATGACCAATTCGTTCTTAGTTATTCATAAATTTCTGATAATCACTTAATTCAGTCTTAGCACTGGGTTCTAGGAGTTGTAAGATACCTGAGAGGCTAAGTAGGCTGTAAAGAGGTGATACAACAATTAGAGCGCAAAGGACATTTAAGAGCAATTTTGTGTTATTATAAACTCGTATCAACCAGCAAATCGCGTATTTTAAAAAAGTGGGAGGGGGGGGGGCGGGGAAATTGGCTATCGATCGGATGATGTCAAACAATTTGGAATGAAAAAGTAATTCCAGCTCCACCTCCCAACTCAATAGTTAATTAATAAAATTAAGCTAGTCGATCAGAAGAGGAGCAATTAACTTTACAACCCGAAGTACAGGAGAATGACAAAAAAACCAAAACGGGAAAAAATCAAGGAGACCGAAGAGAATGCGAAATTCAGTTGCTCGTTATCTATAAACGGGAACTGAAACGACACCCTGTGGGGAGACAATGAAGTCCAAATATAATAATGCCCGTATGGCTCATTAATAGTCGTAATAAAGTGAGTGTAAGAGGTGAGAGGGGGGGGGGGAAGAATGTGTTAGAATATATAAACGCGACGTTTGAAATCACAAATAAAACACACTTCCTAACTAAAATCTGCATACTATTGATTATTTATTATGTACTCGAACCAACTCCAGTGAGTACTGTTTTACCTCGTAAAGTTGTATAAATTAACACAATATATCAACGCAGCATAATTAAATATTCAATTGAATCCGTTGATCAACACGAAGACGCGAATTTACGCAGAAACTAAGTGCTCCAATTTCCTTAAAGACTATGAATAGAGACCTTTGACACTCTGCCACTAAAATACACACTAGGTTTCGTTCTAAAGGGAGCGTAAAGATTTTCTTGCACTGACATTGGTGACAAAAATGATAAAACAGGTCGGATCTAAAAGTACACCATTTACTAACTGGTAGTTTAAATATATTCATATGGATGACGGCCACATGGAAAGAGTAATCGTCGAGTGGAACTTGTCCATAATTCCAGGCAATAACGTCAGACCCTAAAATGTACCACCCGGGGTGTGCGATAGATTTATCTCCACGTGGTGCGTACTCATACGGCAAAAAAGTCTATTAACAGGCATTTGACTTCTGACATCTAACCGCCATAACCCCACTGTATGTCATATTCCCCCACTTCCACAGTACTCACCTCACCTTTTTTCTCCCTTTTCTACCTTCGTCTCTGAAACACTCTTCTGTGCCCACCC